ATGAGTTAATCTGTTTTTAAGCGTCTCTGGAAGAGAACGGAGAGAATCGCATTCAGTGAATGTGCACATAGTCTTGAGAAAGAAATCTTAAACTGAAGATGCTTTTCTGTGGTTAAGTATCTAAAAAGCTCAAGCTGGTGTTAGGGTTGGATCTTTATTTTTGATGTTTGTGTTAAGATCTTTCTGAAGTGTCATACGTATAAAAAGTTCTGAAGGGTCACTGGACCCAAAACAGATACCACCACACCTGTGATTCTCCAGTAATTTATATTTTGGATTTTCAGTATCTATGGTTCTTTGTTTTAGTTTACCTCCCATGTATCATTGTCCAGAAATTTCTGTTTGTGTCATATTATAAGTTTTTTTTTTTTATTTCCTTCTATGTAATAAACTTAGTTTTTATTTGTTAACGTACATTAGTCTGCCAATGTGAATGTGTCTGATGACTGACTGACTGACTGACCACTATGATAACACACATTGCAAAAATAAAACTTCTTATCTATCAAGTAAGGTTTCAAATGGGATCTGATTTGTCCAGTGTTACCATTAGTTAGGATCTTAGTAACGTGACTTTCAAGCATAACATTTTTGCTTTTGGAATTTCTCAAATAATTGTGTAATACTTTGCAGGGACTTCAAACACTGTTACTAAACCATCATTGAAAAGTGGCAAGATTTGGAACGCAAAAGAAAAATCAAAAGTGAAACCACTGACAACAAAAGGTAATAATCTTGCCTGTCAGTACTCTGAATATCCTGAATACATAGCTAATAGAAGTTTGTTGTTTATCAATCATGAATTTCTAAGATTGGATTTCTTTACTCCACACTATTAGAATCATTTTTGACAGATATGTCCTTTTTATATTCCTATCAAAATGTACTACCTCACAATAAGGTATAATAAAATTCATTTTCCAATTATATGCCCATTCCACAAATGTAGAACTTCAGTTCCTGAGTCAAAATCATTTATGCAAATGGTGCACAATAGACTGTTAGTAAGACTCATCAATGCTTTTTATTCCCCTGGCAGTATAAATTACTACCCTTAACCCCTTTTTGTTCTATTTTGTACCAACTTTGTAATCCATTCAACCACTTATCCCTTAACTCCACTTGTCCACTTGTTCTTTGTCTATTATGCAGTAATTTATCAAAGGCTGTTTGAAAATACAAAACTATTACTCAACTGCATTTGCTTTGTAAATCGTTCTATTACTACTTCAAATAACTCAACACATTTGGTCAAGCATGCCCTTGCCCTTTGAAATCTGTGCTGACTGCTCTTTACTATATCTCCAGATTCTCTGTATTTTACTGTTGCTTTGAGTAAATGCCCCATTGTTTTTCCAGCACTGATGTTAACCTAATTAGTCTGTACTTCTGTTGGATCTATTCTATTTCCATTTAAATGTAACATTCATATTAGCTGTCTGCCAGTCCTCTGACACTAAATTCCCTGATTGGCTTTGATAAGCTTTCAGCATAATGTCACTTCCTAATTCCTTTCAATATGAATGGATGAGAAAACATGGGCTTTATATTTGTTTGTTTTCTCAATTATCTTCAGCTATATCTTTGTATCTGTTTCGATTTCTTCTACGGTTGTCATGTGAGCCTTGTTTGTGTCCTAACATATTTAGGTAAAGCAATTAGTTTATATTTCTATCATTTCACTGCCTTCAACATTTTTCAGTTTATCTTGTAAATCTCATTGTAGCTAAAACAACTTGTAAATATTTTTCAGCTGCTGTTGTTTGCCATTGCTTGTCTATATTTATATTCCAGTTTACCTGTTCTAGTTTAATTGCCTTTGCTCAAAATTAATTCCACCTCCATGACATGACTTTGTCTTGTGCATGTCTTTCTCAATCTTAACTTGAAATTTGATTACATTGTATTACCTCGATATTCCTATATACATAGCAAACTGCTCTAGGACATTTTCTACCTTGACTGACTCACCACTAATACCACATAATTTGCTTTGTATTTAAGAAACTAGTTTTGAATGTAATTAAAACACCTTCAACCTTAATACGAAATTCATCATATAACATGATTACTCTTCCCAAGAGGACCCTTTTACTACAAGATTATTCATTAACTTTTCCTCCATTGAAGAATATTAGATTGAAATAATGTTCCCTGTTTGCTTATTTTAAATTCTTGGAAGTCTTACTGCAAATTCAATTTGTCTAGTCTCTATGACCTTGCTTACTATTTTAAATGTGCCTCAAATCTATTGATGTATACGATCTTATAGTACAACTGCTGAAAATATGTTTACTATTTTAAGCATTTCTGATCTTTTAAAGCCACTATTGCTGCCTAGGATATTGATACATGCATACAGGGGGGAATATTCCTGTGCACTTTCACTTAGGGACAGGTCCAATCTGGGAATAAAGCAAATAAGGGATCAAGACCAGTTGAGCACAAGCCGTATTCACATTTCTTCCTTGTTATTTCACTAATCTATGGATCACTGAATGTATCTCAGTGAAGGTCTGCCTCCAGGTTTTAAAAAAAAACATACACAAACTTCTTCACTGTTTGGAAACAGATATAAAATTTAAGCCAAGAAAGTTTGGAGGGCAAGAAACAAAGATATTTTTATGATATGTTCATTTTTTTCTTCCTCATTTAGAAATATAATTGGAAATTATGCATGTTTGTTTCGATGGATTTTCTAGTGTCAGCAGTACAAGTCATCATGCTTAAAAATTTAAAAGCTTCAGCAATTATAAATTATACCTGCTGTTCCTAATGAGCTGGTCTGATAGGTAGATAATTTGAAATTTCACCTTTATAAGCTTTTAACTTTCCTTGGATTCCATTGATTTCCAGACGTGTATCCATGCTTTTAGATTTTAGCATGTGTTATAGTTATTGTAAGGAAATTTGAGTATAACTGGGCATCAGCAAAATGGGGGCATCAGTGACTGTGTAACTTTGGGTACAGGTTTCTAATTATTACTTCAAGTAATTCAACCCAATGTTTTGTATGGTCAATATACCTTTTTTAAAATCTAAAAGTCTTTATGAAATCATACTTGGTAAACTCTACATACAGAACTAGGGTGGGTGTTGTCTGGCAGGATTCTACTTGTTACAACTAGGGCAGAGAATTCCATTGACTTTCAACCTTCCGAGTGAAGAAATTCCTCATTTTATCACAGGCCTAAATGACCTGTCCCTCATTCCGAGATTGTGTATCCTAAACTTCAGAGAATCATGGCTCAGTCTTTTTAACCTTTCCTTTAAACGGAATTCCCTCCATTCCCATGGGATTAGGTTGGTGAACTTTGTTGCACTCCCTGTGTTGCAGATACATCTTTCCACAGATCATGAGACCAAAACTACATGTAATATTCCAGATGTGGTCTCAACAAGACTCTATAATTGCGGTAACAGTTCTAAGTTGCTCTGCTCAAATTCTGTTGTAATATAGACTGACATAGTTGAGTGCTGTGCCTGCGTGTTAACCATCTGTACCTTTCATCAAACTACATTGGATAAATGGCTGAACCCCGTCAGGAAATCCATTCAGTGTCTCAAGTGAAGTGTAAATAAATACTCTTATAAGAACTGTCTGAGTACAGATCAGCTAAAGATTTCGTTTCATATGCTAGATGACACGGGGGAAATGATTTTTTGAAGCAGTATTCAAGAATAAAGAAACCATCAATAAATGCCAACAGACTAGTAATTCCCTAGATTAGATTATAACATTCAAGTCAAGCCAAACTAGTTGATAATTTACATAACACACATACTGTCGAGTTGAATAGTGGCTTTGTTCAGTTCTGGATTTGTTTCTGAACTAATTGATTTCCATTACTTTGGAAAATGTTTTGCAAAGTGTTGCTGCATATAATGGTTACACAGCGGTGTAAAACTGAGAGAAATTCTTTCAATTTTCTCGTCAAATTTATCTGCCAGTTCGCACTATTTCCTTGAAGGCGTACCATATCCCTTTCCTGGGATATGGTTTAATAGATGCTGTTTGTTCTCTGTTACCTCTGTGATCATTTAAGCTATTGTATCAATGCTATTACAGCTGAGTCAGGTCCTGTCCCAACTATACCTAACATATCTACATATCAAAAGAGCAGCTAAATACAAAGGAGAAATTTAAACCCTGATCAGTTCCTGGTTGATTAGCTATTGCTGCATCTAGTGATTTACACAGTCACTCGGAGCAATAAATTGGCACTTGATTTAGCTAATTTAGCAGCTGCAGCTCCCTACATTCATCATTGTCCAATTTTTGGCAGGAGCTTTAAACAGTCATTGGGTTCTTCATTTACATTTGTAAGGGACAAACTCATTTATTATGTGAATAATGATGATTTACCTTAGTAAATATTTGATCAGATTATTCAAGTACGTTTTGGGTGTGGATCTCAAGAGTAGCAGCAGCTATCTGGTCAGATTCTTGTGTACATGTACTGTGTGGATATCTATTACCTATAATTGATGGATTCTGCCAGTACAAGGCGACATGTACACATTATGAAGTGCAACACGACTTATAATCTGGCTGCAAATAACATTTAGATCAACTAGTAAATACAAAATCTATTGCATGGAATTCAATGGCATTTTGCGAAATGTAGCTGATAGATTGATTTTTGGCATTTATTTTGCTTCCATGAAATTTTAGGAAGTTATTTTACTTATTGAAAATGTTTTTGTTATCAAACCATCCTATCCCTACAAGTCTCCTGTATATTGGTCCTGAAATTTTGTGGATGTTGTATTAGTGTTCTGTTGCAATGTCCTGAGAATGACTGATTAAAACCTAGATACAAGGTTTCCACTATTTTTTTGGTGGTGAGGGTTGGAGGTGTAATTCTGTCGATCTTCTGCTGGAATGAAACATGAAGACAAACCTCCACTGAATTTCCAAGGCTAATCTAATTTTAAGGAAGTTGGAATCTGGCATTATTTTTAATAACATGACCTATTTTAATTACAGCATCCAAGCTGCCATCATCAGTCAGTCCGTCTTTCCCTTCAAAACCTGTGCCTAAATCTGGCCCAGCAGGCAAGTTCAGAAGTATTTTTCAAATAATTAACATAGGAATATATTTCATCAGGATTATTGCTCAAAGTACAGTATGCATACTGCTGGTAATTATAAACATACATATATGCAACACAGAAATAAATGAAATTCTGAAGAATTGCTTCCAAATATTTTGAATTGCACCAAAGTATTTGTAACTTGATGGAACTTGACTTTACAACTTCAGATTATAAATTGCTGCTTAAAAGCAGTTTGAGTGATTTTCGTCTCGGGTAAAAACTTGTTAAGTTTACAGAAACATATTTTAAGCACAGATCTATGTAACAGAACAATTATTTGTGTCCCTCTTTTACATCTTTTCACTAATTTTCATGTAGAATTGTACAACTTATTTGAACTCTTTAATAGGTGCAGTGCGAACTTTAGATCCTCCTAACCTTTGGCTGCCTAACGTAGAGTTCATGCAAATGATTATCCAATTACTTTTGGATCCTGCTGAAAAAAATTAATCATTGTCTTGACATGAAGTTTATTAACTTGCCAGAAAATTAGAATTGATTGTATTAATTGAGTGAACTGATGCCATTTTTAAAAAATTGACCGAAAATGTTTAAAAATAAGAATTGTTTGTTTGCATCTTTTCAGTAAATCAAACACATGGCAACTTGATGCTTGCATGAAATATATCATGTAGTCAGTACCCAACACTACTTGGCCGAACGTGTATACTGTTTCCTAATTGTCATGAAACCATATCTGAATTTTTTAGCGCTGTTTTGACAATGTCGCTGAAAATAGCTAACAAAGCAAATATTCCCTGGCCTATTCTTTCTTTGGATTCATTTTCCAATGTGCTTGTGGTATTATTTTGGAAATGTGCTCTGTAACTAGTCCATCAGTGATGTTTGCATGAAATGTATTTTCTGTCAATTATCAAACTTGTGTTAAACATATTGTTCAGTTACAATATTCACCACTCACCAAAGGAAAAGGGAAATGTAATGTCACCTTGCAGACATCTGTATTTCGCTATGTAGTGTTGCATGGCTTTATACAGTAACATGGTGTGTAAGCAGTATAAATTTCTCTTTTGTTGGCATTGTGTTTTATGGTTGGAGTGCCATAATTTCTTTGATAACATCCAGAGGTTCTGCCTAACTTGTTATGGCCAAATAATGAGAATTTGCATCTGTTACTGTCAAGCTTAAGTTATCACCCGTGGAGGAGCCATCAGTATTCTAACATTGCGGCTTCATTTAGTGTCTTGGATAATTTTATACCTCTTTTCTCTGAAAAACATTGCAGAAATTCAGATACCAGTTTTCCTCACTCCAAGCCCCCCTTCTCAACTTGATACCATGGATAAGCAGCAATCTACAGGTAGATTCAATTACTGAAAAAGCTGGGGTGTTATTTCATTAGTGATATGTACTTTAATGCCTATAAATGCATCGAAGTTTGCTTATTTTGCATGACTGAGACTTTAGATGTAACATTGAATTTGGAAGTATAAATTTTAATGCTTCATACTTATTGCTTTATAAAACAATTGATCAAGTTTTTTTAAGCTACATTTTTTGGTTCATAAAACGGTATTTGCATAAGTTAGATGCATTATTTTCCAAATATTTTGAGCGGACACAATGAACCCTGTTTTCAACTCATGGCCTGTGGCTGAGAAGATGGATGAGGTAATTTGCATTAAGATTTTTCCGAATGCTATTTGGATTGACTCCGGGAAGTGTGAGAGAATGATCTAGTATGGATTCTTTATCCTCTACTACTCCTCCCTATGTGGGCATTTGCTGAACCCATGCTTATCATTTCCTTGGAAACTCAATGCAGATCAGAACTTCAGCAATAAGGAGGATCACACATTTGGACCCGCATCCTCTGTCCTATATGATGCTTTAAAGGATTTCCATCAAAAAGACTTGTGTCCATTTTAAGCAATTCTAGCTGTTCACTTGCCTGAAGTGTATTTGGACTCTCAGATCACAATATAATACATGGAATTACATTTGGAATCTTTAAGCATCTATCCTGCTTAGTAAACAGCAGGATGCTCTATGAATTGGCCAATGTGCTATTATTGCACTTGTCAGTATATAGTGTTTGTATGTTGAAATGCAAATTAGGTTCCACTTCCAGTTAACTTATGATAAATTCTTTTTCCAATGATGTCAGTTTCTCTCTGCTTGACCAGCTAGCTGTTTCAATGTATTTTTCTAAAATGCATTACAGAACCTGTGACAACACCACCTTCTACCACTTTGCCATTCACTATATTAAGTACAACTTCTGGTCATACTGCTGTGGACAAGCAGCATCTCCCAGGTAGTTCTGATAATAACTTTCTAGAAAAGATGTGATTGTGTGTGGTGATGAATTATTTGTGGTCTGTTCCAAATCAATTTGCAACATCTTGTGTGTATTTTCATTTTTTTGTTTCAACTGGTGAAATTACATTTTGATGCAGTAGTCTATATTTGAAGAGTGTATATGAGTGTATATTTGAAGCCTTGTGAGAGGTTACTGTAGCCATTCTGTCAGTCAGCGAGCACGAAAACATCACACATTTGAAATACTTTCATTTTTGTCAAGTTTCTCTCTTGGAAAAAATAGACATTTTCTCTATCTGTCCTTCGATAAATTTGAGTTGATAATCTTAGTATGAAATTTCCTACTAGCATGTTCTGAAATCTGATTATTTAAACTTTAGTTTGTGAGAACCTAATATTGGAACTGAGAGACTGTGTGAACCTTGAACAAACACAGAACTTACTTTTTGCAAAGGTCAATGACAGCCAGTCACAGTTTGACAGCCATATCCTTGATCTCATGACTGCACATGTATCTCCTCAACAACAAGAACAGAAATTGTTGGAGAAACTTGGCAGGTCTGTCAGCATTTGTGGAGAGAAAGCAAAGTTAACATTTAGGGTCCAGTGACCCTTCCCTCTAATCTCACCCTTCAGCTTTTGTTGTGAAGGATGCCGAATGAAGAATGTGTTGAAATGTGTGGACTTACGGTTTTGGATTCATTGTCATATTTGAATCAATGCCTTTTCCTTTTAAACATGTGGTTAATTAATCATATTAGTGGTAAGGTTTAATGCCTATTTACTAAATTAATTGCTTAGAATATAACTTATTTCTGGCCAGCCTAATTTTGATGTGATCTATATTTGTTATGTTATGACTTCTTATTGTACCAAATTTGCTATGTTAGTTTACTTAATTTGTGGAAGTTATTTGTTTTCTCCTAATGTATCATGCAGCAACCCAGGTAAAATCCGCCAACAGTTAATTTTTATTCACTTCAGGCACGACATCTGCTTTAGATCCTGTGGAAACCCAGAAGTTCTCAGGTAGTTGTAAAAAGAGCTAATGTGGATGAGAGTTTTTTTCTTAATTGCAGCAAAATGCATGTTGTATTTATCAACAACTGTCAGTTGTAATGCTTTTGCATCTTCTAAGGATTTGGATATTATTAACTAACGTGGTGCATGTCCAGTACACAATATATAAAATATGCTTTTACAGAGCAAGTCAACTTGTCATTGGCTGTCAAGAGTTAATTGAATGCATTGTTATGGAATCAATAAATGTTATGATTGTCTGTCTCGTTATTTAATCAGTGTGCTTGCATGAAGCGTATTACATGGACACTAAAATCTTGCACGTAAATAAGTCAAAGTCAACAAATTTGGTGGAATACTACAAAGTATTATATTTTCTTGGTTCATTTTCACTTCCACGATATAAATTTATTCCTCCTACTTTTTATTTGGTTGTATCTTTCTGTATATGTCTGCATACAATGACTGCCTCACCAAAAGGGAAGATGTGTGGACTGTGTCCAAGCTAAAGCCAGTGGTGTTTAAATGTATCCATACATGATATAAAATGGCACATCTATTAGCCTGCCCCTTACTCATCTTATTTTCCATAAGAAAAGTATCTTCTATTATCTTTTTCTTTTCTAATACAGTTCAAGCATTGCAACATGGAGATTCACAGTCCATATTTGCTTTCTACAAGTGTGTTTACACAGTGATACCTAAACATACCATTTGAAGCAAGATAGGAAGAAAAGATGAGCTGGTCTATCAAGCCTGCCCCCAACTTGAACCAATGGGGGGATCCCAGGACCAGAAAGAAGGAAAATTTGGCAAGTTTTTTTTTTCTTCAATGGAAACTGATCTGGACAATTACATTGACCAAGCATTATTTATCAAGATATTTACCTTCATGCTGTGACCTTTGTTCCATATCAGGCACCAGTATGGATATCATTACCTCTGAGGAAGGAGAGCCCACGTATCATTCAGTCCATTTCTATTCTTATATAACTTTAGACATTGTCCTTTTGGTCCTCCACAATATAAAACTGTCATTGAGGATTCCAAGAAAACATGATGTCACTGGAAATTCAGAATTCTCCATATGAAACAAAAACAAAATACTGTGGATACCAGAAATCTAAAATACAAGCAGAAAGTACTAGAGGAAACTCAGCAGTTCTGGCAGCGTTTGTGGGGAGAGAAACAGAGGTGACATTTTGAGTCCAACATAACGTTTTGGAACTTAAGTTGCTGCCAGACATACTGAGTTTTTCCAGTGCATTCTGTTTTATTTTAACAAGTGTCTTTGTGCACTGAACAGTTGTCATCACTATCCTTCTGTACGGAAATGAGACCGGGACTGTGGTTCACATGCAAGAATACTGTAGAAATTCCTTCAGCAGTACCTCTGCAACATCCTCCGGATTCAATGGAAGAGCTGTCAAACCAATACTAATGTCCACGTGGGTAAAAGTCATTTCCCCTGCATGTTCTTACTTTCTTGATTATAAAATGGCCAAAGCTTCAAGGAAGAACAAAGAGGACATACACTGAAGCTCTTCTTGGAACCTAGTAACATTGACACTAATAATGGGGAGGAGCTTTCTGTGGTCACTAGCGACAACCTATCCATCAAATTGCCACACTTCAAGTTCTAATGCCTTAGTGGTGATAGAGTGATAGAAAAGGTCAGAAAAAGAAATAAATCCTACACTTTGGATCCTAATATTTTGTGAGATATCCTGTCCATGTGGACAACGACCAATGGATTGAAAATTAGCCTGTTGTCAAATGCAGAAACGTGATCTTCAATAAATGTTCTGCTCAAAATGAGGGATAGCTGATGATGAAATCTCCCTTGCTCCAGAGTACTTAGACAAGGTCTTTAAGCCTGCATCAGTATCTGAGTCTCCTCAAGCTAAGAATCATTCTTGTGATTTCCATTGATCCCTTTTTGAAGATCACAGTTTCATTAATGATGTGGTGATACCAAGTGTGGACATAGTACTTTTAAAATCCTCTCTGACCAACAACAAGTATAGTGATAGAATTTGTATCTTTTGATTTTATGCTGAATGGTTTAATTAATACACCACAATATCCCCTGAACACAATAACACTTAACCTTTTTCTCTCTGAAACTCATTCAACCATGTTTTCTGCAAATAATAGGAACATAGAAAGCAAGCGCAGAACTAGACCATTCATCTCCTCAAGCGGGTTCTGCCATTCAACTGGATTGAGGTCAAGCTTCTCAATGCCATCTTCCTGCATTATCCCCATATCCATTGATATCTTTAAAGGCTAGAAATCTATAACTTTAGCTTGAGTGTAATCATTGATTTGAGCCTTTACTACCGTCTAGGGCAGAGAATTTCAAAGATTCAAAGGAATTTCCCCCCTCTTCGGAGTCCTTTTATTCTGAGACCCTGTGCCTGGTTCTAGACTCCACAGTTAGAAGAAACACCATTTCAATACCTATCCTGTTGCACTCTGTAAAGATTTGTACACTTCAACGAGATTTTCTCTCTTATAAATGCTAAAGACTGTTAGAACTAATTCCTCAGTCTGTCCACAAAGGACAAGTTCACCATGCCAGGGACTGAACCTTCATTGCAGTTCCTCTGTAGGAAGTACATCCATCCTTGGCTAAGCAGTCCAAACTTGTACACTCTATTCCAGGTGTGGCCTCATAATTACATACAATTTTGTACAATTGCAACACGATTCCTTTATCCCGTACCCAAATCCTTTTGCAGTTAAAGCCAACATACCATTTGCTTTCCTTTTTGCTTGCTGCCCCTGCATGCTAGCATTCAGTGACTTACGAAGCTGGGCACCCAAGTCGCTTTTGGACATCACATCCCAAAATGAGGGGTGAATAAAAGGTGTATAAGAACCAGAACAAATTTGACAAGGCGTACATGGGAAGGATGTTTCCTATTTTGGTGAGTCCAGAGTTAGAGAGCCCTTTTAAAAAATTAGGGCTCTCCCATTCTGGTCAGAGATGGGGATAATTTTTTTTCTATCAGATGGTTCTGTGATGTTGGAATTTTCTGCCTCTGAGGTAGCGGAGATAAACTCATTGAAGATTTTTAAGGTGTAGGTAGGTAGATTCTTATTAGGCAGGTACATCAAAGTTTATTGGGGTAGATGGGAATATAGAATTCAAAACCCAAACAGCTGTGAATTTATTTAATGACTGAGTAGGCACTAGGGTCTAAATAGCCTGCTTCTGCTCCTAATCTGTGTGTTTCTATTCCACTGAGGAGCTTTCATTTCTCTTTGTAGTGATATCTGCATATTCCATATCACTAACATATATATATATATCAGTTTTTATTTTGGCTAAAGGAAATAATCCACATCAATATTGATCCAACTTTCTTTTAAAGAATTATTATTCTACTCTACATCAGGTTTTCTTTTATAACTGGAAGTCCATTTCATGCATCCACTACTCTGCAGAAATGAAAATCTCTTCCTTAATCTCATTGAACATTTGTGATGACTTGTTTTTTGTTCTTAGTCAAGATAATCCTGCTTGTGTTGCATCAACTCACTGCACCAAAGTGCTGTGCATTGCCAAGTTATTCAATGCTATTCTACTTCACTCAACCGTAAATGTCATGCATAAATTAACATGTGTAAGTTCGGAGTATTTATTCGCTTTCTTTGAAACAAAATTGCAGAACCCAAGATACCATCATCCAGCCATGGACCTTTCCATCCAACATCAGATCTTGATGCCATGAATAATCAGGAATTCACAGGTAGTTCAGTGATGCATCAATATGTAGGCTATGTCTTTCAGCATAAATAATGCATGCATTTTCAGTGTACTGTGCATACGTATATGGCATTGCTATCATTTTTAACCTGTTCATAGATTATAAATTTCAAGGTTGGTATGAAGTGTTTTAATGAAACGATATGATATGATATGATATGATTTGGTATGCAAAGTGACTCCAAGTGTTTCCATACTAGGTATTTGGTCAAAAATTATCCAAAGAATAGTTCAATAATGCAGTAAAATACCAAACATGATTGGATGATTTGATTTATTCCTTCAGAAAATATGTAGACAAATGATCTATTCACAGGTATTTGCCTGTGGACTACTTTGAACAGGTTCTGTAGAGATGTGAAAGAAAACTGGGCTGATTTTTTTCTTGCCTGTGGGTCAGGAGCTCTAACTCTATTTCAAACCTATCTGACTGAAATTGACAGTACACTGCATGAGAAACCATAAACATAAAATGTTTTTTGTTGCTCGTACAGTGTATTGTTGCATCAAAGCATTGTATATGTTGCAATCTGAATTCATTTGAAATTGTTGTGATCACAGTTTTGGCCATTGGAAAGTGTTGTTTACAATGTCTATACTGAAGTAAGGAATTTGCGGTTTTAATGTATTTTCATAGTACAATGGCAAGCGTCTTTTCAAAATGATATGGACGTTTCTAGTACATTGCTTGTGCTTGTTTATACTGCAAAGTACATGCCAATAATACTGATTTTAGAATGCTATAATGTTTGTATTTTGCACGTATTCCATATTGGAAGCATTAAAATCTAAGGATTGAGGAATGCAGCGTTTTTAAAAAAAAGTCCTGGTGAATTAATTGTAATATGTGGTCAAGATGAGAAAACCTGTCTTGATCTACCTTGAACTGTTATAGTTCTTTCCAGTGCAGCCTCTGCTTTTGTTCTTGGGTTGTATCTCTCGGTGAATTCATGATTTTTTTTTATTTCCTAACCAAAGCACAGAAAGGTGTTCTGTCCTCTGAAAATTTAACTTTTGAACAAATCTAGAAATCAATTTTTCCAATTTTTGGAATATTTTTCCCATTTATCCTTTTTTTTTAGAATAATTAATGCCATGAGGTATTCCAAGTGGAAATCTTAGTTTTTCTATTGGGACTTCTGAACATGCTCTGTATGCACACTGACTTCCTGCTCAGGCAGCCATTGATTTTACAGGGCAGCTACCGTATCTTTCCATCCATTCACGGTCAAAATGTTACTGTCACTTTGGTTTCCCCTTTTTAGCATCATTTCTGGCTTCAGTCTCCCAGCTGTTGCTCTTTCTGAGAATTATAGACTGCTACATGTTTCCACAGGATGTCTTGTGAGATAAAAATTTTTTTATCAATAAACATAATGAAATTAGGTGTAGCTATAGTGAGGAGAAAAGCACAAGAAAAGAAGATAAAATATAATACTAACACCAAAAGGAAAGTATCAGAATAAACCATGGGGGTGCAGGTGGGCATCAAGAACTCAGAGTAGGGAAGAGGATGCTTGGGATGGAGAAGGACAAGAATGTCAGTTTGAATTGAAAAAAAGAGAGGCTCAGCATGAATTGAGCATGAGGACAGAGAGTTCCTTTGCAAAGTGAGTGTTAACTGGAAAATTAGCTATCATCCATAGTGCTTGAAGTCCTTGAGTGTCCATTGTTATCCTTGTCTATGTTTTCTTTTCTCCACTATTGGGAAAGAAGTAGTTCCTTAGCTTCTTTCTTAGACTGTCAAGTTTAACTATCTGCTTCCCAATATAGCATCATTGCTTCAAAGCAGTCTTTTGTCACTCTTGTTACATAGCTTATTTGTGCTTCATTCCATTACACTGGTTTGGATAATGTCTTGGTCACCCAAAAATATTACATTTGATTTTCATCATAGTGCGCACAACAGTTTTACTTGCTTTATTGAAAAAGGATTACAGAATTTAAGTTATGATCCTCCAACGTATCATTCGTCACTCCAACTTCTGAACCTTTTGCCCCAGGCATGTAGATATTCACTGGTAGTTTGATAATTGTATTGTAGAACTGCCTTTTATACAGAGAATTATATGTGCAATCTCTAAAAATTTTGGCTTCCTACATTGCAGGTCAGTATACTGTAATAATATGAAGTAAGTGCTTGCAAATCAGATTTAATGATTAGTGAAACTTTAAAGAAACATAGCATCAATAATATTGCATTTACCAGAAATGCAACTCTTGCTGAATGTCAAGTAGCATGTCTGCAGTCAGAACTGCTTTAAAAAGTACGTTACCTGAATATTAAATTATATCCAGGCTCGTTATTTCAGACAGGAGGATTGTTTAGCCAATAGCCATCTAAATGAGGAAATAGTTACTTCACAAGGGAAGAATTTTTGTTTCCTACAAATGCCTGTGTCTCAGCTAGTAAATTGCTCCTATTTATTTTTGGCGGTTTGGATAAACTGTATTTCTGGTTCTATTATGTTAATTTATTTCTTGGATCTCCATTAAGAAATAATAAGTATTCTTTGAAGAATGTTGTTTCATGTTTATATCTTAAAGCCTTATTCTTCACTCTGTTTCTCTTAACTGGTTCTAATTGGTTGAATTATGTTGATTTGTCAATAGGAAGTTTTGGGTCTAAAAATAAACATCACAGTTTAAGTGTATGCCTTTGCCTTAAAAGCATTTTAAATCGTTTATACAAGATGTGTTTTGTATTTCAAAATTGAATGAATTTTAAGTATCCATCTATTAGATGCCTTTTTTAAAAATATCTTTGCCCTTAACCTGAAGTTTTTGCTCAAGTTTAAAATGCATTATCTTAAAATAAATGTAATTTGTCATAGATTTTCACTAAGTGCATTTTGTTTAGCCAAATGAGATATTGTCAATTGATAGTAAGTGATTATAACAGGATTATGTTATCAATTTGGTGAATTTATATAGTGACTTTTGCCATTTGTTTCTGCTGAGGCAGAAAAAATCTCCAATAAAAAGTAGGTACTGCAGATAATTCATGATTAGAGTGAGCTTCTTGACTAGTTGCAATATTTGGGGGGTGGTGTTGGGTGGGGGTATGGGAAGTTGTTAGCTGGGCACATTTCTGGTTTGGTTGCCCATATTACTATGAGTTTTTGTTTAGATCTCTGCTGGGTGTTGGTTTTCTGGATGTGTTGGAGTGTGTATACTGTGATACGCAAGATAGTACAACTGTGTGGAGCAGGATGATGGACTAGGTCATTTGTTGTTTGCCATCATTCATATGTTCATACAATCTTAGCACAATTACTATGACCTGACATACAATTAGCAATTAGACATTTTCTTTTGTTTCTGTGAACAACATTGCAGAACCTGAGGTTCCTTCCACTACTAGTTCATTTTTATCCATTTCAAATTTGGCTTCCAAACTTGATGTCACGGAGATGGACCGGTTCAAAGGTAGCTGAGAAAATACAGCATGGGAAGCAATTTCGCTGTAACTATTGAAATGAGCGTATTCATTTTGCATATTATTTTCAAATATTTACATCAGTTCAATATGCTCAATGGCTTATTCACTGCTGAGAGATACATTCATTTGTCACACATGAGCATGCACCAGCACAAAGTGCATTGTCAGCTCAATGGCTTAGTACAGCATTTATAAGCAATGTATTCAAGCATAAGTGAAGTCTATCTTGCATGGGTACAACATCTTATTTAAATAAGAGACAAATCATTGCTTGGAAGAACTACGTTGTTTGTCCATGTGTCTTTTTTGGCTGGTTACCTGCATCATGCAGAATATTATGTGTATTTTCTATTCCCACATCTTCTGCTTTGACCACAGGCATTATGCAAAAAATGTTAATTTGTTTTGCAGCATGGATTTTATGCACTGTTGCCTTTCTGAAGTATATTGGTGCAGCTGCTACACAATTCGTTATCTGAAATTTAGTCTGCCTACTGTTTGCATGAATTGTGCTCCTTGTGCCAAATTAAGCTTTTCTACGGATGTCGAGTATGTTGCTTTGTTCCCTCTATGAAGAAATGTTTTCAGATGTGATAAAAGGTGTGTTTTTTTTTTGGGAATAAAAACAGAACATGAGGAACCATCCTCCAAAGACTCATTTTCACACACTACTTCTGAACCTGAAACAATGGATAATCAACAATTCCCAGGTAGTGCCATTAATGTATGTAAAATAAATATCATGATTTCTTCACGTGCCATATCACTATGCAATATGTTTATAAGTACTATATATTGCATTAACTGCATCAGTTCTAATTCCTTAATTCACTTGTCAGTAAATTCCATTTCAATTAGCAATTAACAAGAGCACTTGGTTAAAATACATTTTTTGAGCCATAAACTGATTTTGTTTATAGTTGAGTTTTAACAAAGTACTTTGCTCAGATAACATACTGTATCACACCCATTGTTCTTTACTCTTATTCTACATTTAATCCTTTGTAATTCTATTTAAATCAAGTATAACATGACTACATAGCTGCTATTTGATGTTGGTATATTATGTAAAAACATTTTGTTTTAATGGGAACAAAAACAAATTGCTGGAAAAGCTCAGCAGGTCTGGCAGCATCTGTGAAGAAAAAAAATCAGGGTTAACGTTTCGGGTCCGGTGACTTTTCCTCAGAACTGGTTCCTGTGAGGAAGGGTCACCGGACTCAAAACGTTAACTCGGATTTTTTCTTCACAGATGCTGCCAGACCTGCTGAGCTTTTCCAGCAACTTCTGTTTTTGTTCCTGATTTACAGCATCTGCAGTTCTTTTGGGATTTTTTTTGTTTTAATGGGATGTTGGCAATACTGACAAGGCCAGCATTTGTTGCCCATTCCTAATTGCCTTTAAACTGAATGGTTTGGTAGGTCATTTTAGTGCACAGTTAAAATTCAACCACAATGCTGAGATTCTGGAGTCAAATCTGGGTAAGGATGGCAGATTTTTCTCTCTAAAGGGTATCAGTGAAATGATGGGATTTTACAAAAAATATCCCTTGTGACCATAGAATTGTTACTGAGACTAACTTTTTATGATGTAATCTAAAACACTACTGCAAATGGAGATGATTGCTGGTTTAAACAGAACAACAGGTTTATTCTGCAAGTGTGCATATAGGAAACAGCATTCCAAGAGACTTCTTCCCTGATCGTAATTTGAGTCATATATTTATACAACTTGCTGTCTCATTAGTTATAGAATAGGTGCAATGATTACAGGCTTTAACAGCTGCCTGACGTGTTCTCACTAGTGCAAGGCAAAATACTCTTATCCTAGTGTGCATTCCTTCGCACTGGGTCACTTTTGTCCCATTAATGCAGCATCTGACAGTTTGCAACAATAGGATGGATGCCATTTCTGAAAGCACCTCACCTCATCCAGCCAAGGCAATCATCTCTTCCGCAGGTTAAATACTCCTTTTGAATCTGCAGTATCAACAGTTTCCGTCCCTTTACGTTGCAGAGGAGTTTCACCCAATCCATCATAAAACTAGATGATTATGGTTCCTGACATTGCAGGTATTCCAATCGTGGTGTCCCATTATGTGTGTAAGGATGATTATCTTCCTATTCAGTTTACTGTAGTTACTATGCATCCAATATTAAATGTTTTGATTACAGTATACACATTGGAGTTTTTCTAATCCCTTGTCGGTGTCTTCGGCTCTGTGATGCACTTATTTATCTGACTATTAATTTCTGTGTCTACTCTTCAAACTACAACATTTCTAATTCTAGATTAATCAACACCTTTAAATTTTACTAACTGCCATGGTGGGATTTCAAACCATAATACCAGAGCATTAATGCGAGACTCGTTGCTAGTCTGGTGACATTTGTACTATACTGCCATCATCCTGTCTCTTGCCCTTACTGATGTAGAAATTTCTGAGCTCTTCCTGTTCTATTGGCATTACTGTGTGTATAGCAGAAACCCATTTCACTTCCAATGAAGCAACAGGATTAGCTCCGTATTTCTGGCTATTATTTTACTCACTGCAGGATCTGCTGATGAAGCAACAAACCAATATGGTACATATTTGGTGAGTCATTATGTAGTATCTTATCTGAACTTTAATCACTGGGTTGCATTTCTATGTTTACTTGCTATACCCAATGCATTGTCCTGCATTTAAGAAAGGTGTCTCCAAATCTTGTATTTGCTGTTTAAGTGTATGAATGTTGAGTATTGTTGAATTAAGACATAAAGACCCACATTTGCAAAACTCTCAAGACCGCATCTAATGTTTGATGTTGTCCAACTAAAGAACCACATGTCTTGGATAATCCTGAGTGTGTGAGGAATTACATTGACAACCAATTTAGGATTGTTACTTAGTCTCTATGTGATGCACTTGTGTGTAATAGAAGCTACATAGATTAATACACAGGGCTCTTGTTCTTTGCAAACAGATACAACATGTAAACACATTGCACCTGTTTGAGCTCAATAAAGTAGCTGACAGTCATTCCACAGTTCATTTCTCAGGACAAGGCCCTGATCAATCAGAGTCAACCTACTGGTTGAAAATTAAAACAAAACTTGGCTGTTAACTATCAATCAGTGCTAATTGGTGCATTCTTCATGGCAATGCCTCTGCTAATCAGCACACTGCTCTCATGCAGTATCAATATTGGTTTGCCCCGTGAATTTGTATTCATCTGAAATGTTCTGATGACAGCAAGACAAAAAAGCTTCTAAAATGTTTGTTTTTTTAGCAATATTCAAGTTCTGTACTGCCAAACATCTGTTTATATGAACATTCTTTTTTGATAATTCTATTTTAACCCATGTAACTTTTTAAGTAGTAGTAGTATAAAATTACGCAAGTTGATTGATCTATTGTGGCATTGAGCGAGAAAGCCCTTTTTAATCCATAACAGCAGCCATGCAGTATGACTCCTATAGAGTCAGATACCATGCATCACCTCATTCCCCCAATAAATTCTGTTGTTCCATGACAGGGTTTCTCTTGTGTTCTCTTTACGCCATTCTCTTTTTGTTCAAAAGTATCTTCCTCTCTTTCTTACATTCTTATTTCCATTCCTTCCTGTCCATCCTATAAATTGGTCACTCTGCTTCTATCTTTTCAACCGATCCTATTTAGCAGGATCTATTTATGTCTGAAAAATCACGATGTCAAATGATATAGTTCTCTATCTATATGTCTCTCCTTTAACACTAAGCATTGATTGCTTTCATGATCTGTCATTTAGCCCTCTCCACTCCCACTATCTCTGAGGAGTTTGTTTACTTTTCATGGTTTTTGCTAGCTAATCTCACAACTGTGTTTGTTCTGACATTAGCTGTTTAAGCAGATCTGTCCTTATAAAACCATTGTTTGTTTACTTTCTGTGAGGGAGCAGCCATCTGTTTTGAAACTGTGATCCAGGGCTCTGCTGTTAGAAGGGATCTGCACGAAAATACTAGTTTTCTTTTCCCTTCAGGCTTATTTAACTGTGCTTTATTTTTTGACTCGTGAATATAAGATTTAATAAATCAGGTACATATATGGCTACACTTTGCATGTAAAAATGTGATATTTTAAACTAAAAGTTTGAGGGTGTTGTATGCAACATAAATTTCCATGCACTATTTGTTTTAACATCATTATTTTCTAAATTTAAAGTGGCAAATAACAATATTATAAAATTGGTCCACCTTAAATTTGCTGCCTAGCTCAAGTCAAAACCTAAGTTTACTATTCCATGTTCGTAGAGTCAGTGAGATCATAAGAACCTTGTAGTGCATGTAGCAGGCATTCTGAGTGTCATCTTGGAAGAAGATTGGACAACAGGCAAATAATTATAGCAGAGAATGTTACAACTATTGAGTAGGAAAATAACTGTTGAGTAGGAAGATTGGGTTGATTGTTGAAAGAATTCAGGAGCATCAGCTAAAGGAAGTGCTGTAGTGACTCAGACCTGTATCTTTTGTGGAGAAAGATGTTGAAAGATTGTGATTCCTGGAAGAACACATCCATAGAAGGAAACTTAATGGATCCAATGTGAGTCCTGCTGTGGAATTTGAAAAACATTGGTCTTATAGAGTCATACAGCATGGAAACAGACCCTTCAGTCCAAGTCATCCACGCCAACCAGACGTGTCAATCTGACCTAGTCCCATTTGCCAGCATTTGGCCCATATCCCTCTAAACCCTTTATATTCATACATGCATCCAGATGCCTTTTAAATGTCGTAATTGTACCCACCTTCACCATTTCCTCTGGCAGGTCGTTCCATACAGACACCACCCTCTGCACGAAAATGTTACCCCTCACGTTCTTTTTAAAATTTTCCCCCCTCATCTTAATATGCCCTCTAGCTTTGGACTCCCAAACCCTGGGGAAAAGATCTTGGCTATTCACCCAATCCATGTCCCACATGATTTTATAAACTTCTTTTTAAGAACTTGGTGTTCACTTTGTTTTAACTTCATGTTTATAGGAAATGGATTGAAAAAGCCTCAGGTGCATTCCCTAGCAATGTACTAAACAATCACTAATGATTGGTGCAAGCTATTGAAAGAAATTGTAACAGCGCATAAACTTTGGTTAAAAAGCAAACTTGAGATTTTGATTACATTTGACTTTTGATGCTGAGCTAAAGCTTTAATATTGGATTTGTTCAGTTATGCCTTCGTTTTGCTTTTGGGATAATGTGCCATAATATTTTTCACACACAAAACAAAACAACTTGCATTTATATACCATTTTTTTACATCACAAAGTTTTCAAGATGCTTCACAGGAACATTATTAATCAAAATTTTATGCAGTTGAAACAATTGCCTTCATTTTTTACCATCAGTTAATATTCTCAGGCACTAAGATGTTGATTGTTCTGCTCCAATAATCATGGTTGTGGTATTTACTCTCAAAAAAAAGCTTCACATCGTTTTAATTCACCTTTTCTCTGATATGCACACCATAAATATGCTATGACTCACAAAAAGTCTCAATAATTGTTCTCTCACAGTCCTGCAGTGGAAGCTACCCAGTGTTCAAATAACAATCAGAATATGCTCACAACTGTCAGGGTTTAGAATGGCAGTATGAATGCTTAGCTGATCATGTCCTGAAATATATTGACTAAACAAGGAAAGTCCAAATGAGCTGGCTTGTGTTTAAGTAATATTTGTATTGAAAGCAAATTAGATTGTAACATTTTCAAAACTGAGGACCCAATCTCATTTGAATTCAATTTGTAGACTTTGTGTAAAATAAGCACATAATTCAATTCTTGTAATTTTTTTAGAAGTCAAACTGTGATGGTTTTGTCAAGGATGCTCACTAGTTAAATTTCACATTAGACCAGTTTTACAGACTCTTGTTCTGTGGTTATTACATTACGTCTGTTTCCACTTCTGAACAATTAATCAACTGTTTTGAAAATGGAAAGTATAAATGTCTTTTACTACAGTTGATGTCATTAATCCCATATGGTCAAAAAACTTATTTCATTTTTCCAAACTACATTGCAGAGTATGGGGTATTATCCTCCATCATCTCAAATATTATCACTTTACGCACGACCTCTGAACCTGATGCCATGGACAACCAAGAATTCACAGGTAGTTGTAGTTATGGGTATGATGTAGTCATGAACTTCATTGTAGAAGGCATCGTTTACTTGGATGGATGAGCTGTTTTGCTGGGTCAACATACTCTTCTTCATTACATTTGCCAAATAAAGTTGAACACACATTTTGAAGATGTCATTCACTTTGTTGACATATACTTTATTTGTTCTCACTTTGTCTGTATCAATCCTTTTCATTTAGCATTTACATTTGTATGATTGTATATTTCTTGCATTGTCTTGATCAACGTGAAGTTAACGTGTGTGATACTTCTTTCAGTTGGATTAACTGTTTTGTAAATTTTATATCTCCTTTCACTTACTTTCTATTGGTTTCCTTCATATTCTACTTAAATCAGTTTATATGCTTAGATCATACTGAGCAACTCTGGAGACTTTGTTGTAGTGTGTAGTAAATGCCTTTTAAATACTACAGATCTTTATCTGGCCACTCTCTGCAGATAAGGGTTAGAGGAATACAGGGCGACTATTAGGCCATGAAATTTCATGTTACAATAACAAGAAGTTTATTTGCTGAGATTTCAATTTTGTGCTGTGTGCCATCCAATTAGTGAACAGTTGCAGGGCTTAAGAATCTTTAATTCAGTAATTGAGTTCAACTTCGTTATAAAATCAAATTGGCATTTTGATATATTTTTTCAAATAAATTAATTTACTGCTAACAGAACAACCCACTCAAATATGTTCAGTTTTCTCTAAATATGCAGTATTGGCACTTGGTGACCTATTTTACAAAGCACAATTGTTTGTTTATTATACAATCATAAACAAATGAAACAAAATAGCAAAACAATGACTCAGTATAAATAAGGGTTTAATATTTACTCTTGTCTGTTTTTATAACATAATATGTCAGCCCTCTGTAGTTCGTTCACTAAATGCATTATTTGTTTACATGCATTACAGTTCACTTTTTTTATTTAATGTTTTCATTTGCCAGTAAATTTATAATGTGAAAAATGACTTTATTTTCTGCCATTTGGCAACATATCAATTGGCATTTTCATTCATTTTATAGGGTTTTGACAACACCGCACTTAAAGTACCATATACAGTGTCTCTTTCCTTATCTAGGAAGAATATACTTCCCATTGTAGCTGTGTAGCAAAGATTTGTTATTTCGATTTTAGGCTGAGGGGGCAGCTTTATGAATAGAGATTGAGTGGAATGGACCTGTATTTTCTGAAGATTAGAAGAATGAGAAATGATCAATTTTTGAGGGCTTGCCAATGTTGGTGTTGTTTTCCTTGACCAGGAAGCCATTGTCTCAGGATGAGAGCTCAGCCATTTAAGAAATATGAGAGGAGAAACTTCAGAGTGGTGAATATTCTAAATTCTGTCCCCTGGAAGGTTAATAATGCACAGTTGTTCAGTATATTCAAGACTGCAACTTTCATGTACCAAAGGAGTCAAGGGCTGTGGCGATTGGGCAGTAAAGTGGTTTTGATGTGGATGTTCACATGTAATTTTATTGAAGGGAGGTGCAGATTTGATTATGGCCTTACTCCTGCTCCTTTACTTTTATGTTTTTATGACAGAATTTGCTTTTCATTTTCTCTTGCTAAATTACAGAACCTGAGATTCACCTCAATGTCGATTCATCACCTACCACGTCAAAAAAAAATTATGAATTTGATTCTACACAAAGGAAGCAGATTTCAGGTAGTACATAAAAATGTATGGATAGCATGGATATTCACTTTGTCTGAAGATGACACGTACATCATTGGAATGCAGCACATGTCACTTTGTCAGTATAACTTGGCCATACACTTCCATACCCTTGAAGTTCTGAATTATTCCAATCAGTATCACGTAGTAAAACAGAATGATAAATTAGAAAAAAAGTTGAGTCCGTGGCGCTCGAAGATATGTTCAACAACAATCATTCTGCTCTTCTGAAGTTCTGACAGATTGAGCCCTCCCATCAGATTCAAAGGTCATATTTGCATGAACTATATTAATAAGTCTCAACTTTGCATGGAAATGAAACGGAATGTTTTTATAAATTGTTAAAACTGATTATAGGTGGATTACTTTAGTGGACTGCTTGGCTTCATATTATATTCTGCCGTGCTTGCCACAGCATCCGTTTTTGTAGCTGATAAATTAGGCATGATATTAGGCACGCTACAGTGTTTATCTTCCACCATAGGTGCTATTGCACACAGTAGTTGAGCTGATCACAGAAATGTTTTATTTGTATTCTTTGAATAAGTTCCAGAATTTGAGGCACCATTCTCCAGCAATACACCTGTCAACAATTTAAAAACAACTCAACTTGATGTCATGGACACAAAACAATCCAAAGGTACTCACAATAAGATAAATGAACTGACTTTAATTTTCATATGTATGAAGTATGACAATTGCTAATCTGTAATCAACATCCTTAACTCAAAATATGCAATGGCTAGTAACGATTTTGATGAGTATATTTACATGCAGTAGATTCCTAACTAATAGAATATATTTTGAATAGAAGTACATTAAGAACTTCTGTGAAACTTGTTTCCTGATAGGTAGCTCAGAACTATCTTATAAATACATGAGAGGAATGTAGTGCAAGATTAGTATTATTCAGTCGTATGCTTGAGATGAATTGTTTACTTGTCAATAACTATTAATCATTGTTCCTGTCATATTGAATTGAACTCATTACTTCTGGTAGTAAGACAAATTCCCCAGAATACCTGCCTAAATGGATAGTCTTTTACTTAACACTCCGAAGACGTTGCATGGCTGTGAGTTGATGGAGGAAGTCACTGCATACAAAAGTTACACCTGACTCTATGGAGCAGACCCAATGAACTAGTTTGGTTAAATGGAGATGACCTGAGGTTTGGGCATTATACATTTTACTATCGTGCTATGCTTGTGCGGAATGGCTGAATTAACTTCACATGTGAAGTTATGAATGGGACAGATTCAAATTTTAAATTTTCAAACTTTGAACAATTGGTTATACTTTTACAGTAAAAGCAAAACGACACTTTTTTTGGACTCCTGTCTGAAAACTTTTTCTACTTGAGGTTTATTTGACAAGGCATTTTATCTCAGCAAGAGTACTATCTTAAAATATTTCAGTTGATTTGTCTTTAATAGTAGTAATAGATCCCTCTTTCATTTAAAAAAAATCTTGGAAAATATTAACATGAGCCAAGGTTTAGAAACCAGAGAATTGTGTTTGTACAGGGATTGTTGAGAAATGAGTAAGCACTGTACCCCAGGATGGGTATTGAATATCTGTTGAGCGTTATCTAGAACACTGGATCTTACGGGAGAAATTTCCTCAGTTGGTAAGGTAATATGTGGTCCTGAATTTTTATGCATCTGGAGAGGTTCTATATGTCAGCAAAAATGGCAGTGGAAGCTGAATGTCTAAAGTCTCCCTTGTGAACTTGCCTCCTACTGTTTATGCATAGGGTGGGGACAAACATTACACATCCAAGTTTCATAAAGGTAACTGCTTACTTTAAAGTGCAGCTACCTTCAAGCTCACCTGGTTGTTGGAAGAAGGGGATGGAAATATGCCTTGTGTACTTAAAATTTGGTATGAAAAGTTCTAAGTTTATTAGAATTCTCTGAAGAGGTAGGATAACCTTTTTGGTAAGGTACCCTTTGGGAGTCTTCAAATACACTCTGTGATTGTTAAAAGTGTGTCAGAAGTGGATGAAATGTTTGGAACTGCCAAGCTCTGAAAGTATTTAAATATTTGAAAAAGAAACTATCTGGAGTTGTTTTAAGAATCTGTGCTTCTTACTTCACTCTGTATTTGTGATCTGAGTGAAGCCATTGCAGGCATTGTCCAGAATTTTGCAAATGACAGGAAGAATTGCATCAGAACCAGAATAGTTCATGTTGTAGCTTTTGTCTTTTCATAAAATCCACTTTTTATTTAATTCCCAGACGTCCTTGCCATTGGGCTATACAACTTCTTTATGTTTCATTTTGCATGGGAGGATAAAAGCTATTATCTCTTTTCTTTGTCCTTGATGAATTGGTAATATGGCAAGTGATTGCATATTAATACACTTTCTTTCATTTTTCCTGCACCATCTACAAATTAAATTAAATTCAATAACTTAGGTGTTGCAAAAATGCATTAATGTGTGCTAAGGAACAACCTCAAATTTGCAATCACCAACGAAAGCACTTTGAGGCACTCATTCAAATTGGGGATGGATTATTGTAGACCAGTAGCTGTTTTTGCTTAGAATAGGAAGCAGAATTGGCAGTTTAATAATAACTCACATTATTTTCAATGAGATGCTTAATTCTAACAGCAGAAGTAAGGCATAGATGTAACCACTTCCTGACGAAAATGCCATAACACTGCACAGATTATAAGAACCTTAGGCACATGTTCCATGTACACTAGGCAATGCTTAAAACATGTTTAAACTCATTCTAGCTTTGGACTAGACTGAATCAGTATGCTTTGGAAAAGAAAAAGTATTATTTCTCCAGTCACTGGGTCAGAGTTATAACTCTGATGTTGCCACCCTCCTCCTCACTGCCAGGACCTACCCTAGCGCAGCTGCTGGCATGGCATTCAGCCAAAATAGGTTCTAACCAAGTCAAAAAGCTGCCTCAGAATGCCTGATGGGTGCCCACATTTGCCTGTAATATTGACATGAAAAAGGATGAAATGTGATGAACTCCTGATTTAAGCATGCATAGCAAGAAGATCACCAACATTCTGCCTGAGTCCAAGCTTAATCTAATTTCTCCTCCATTATTTCTTGCTTAACTCTTCATTAGCTTCCAGCTATGCTTTTGAGAAAATTATAGAAAATTCATGTGCCTTGACCTGTTGATTTCAAAACCATGAAATGGAAATTGGTTTAAGAATGTGAGGGGTTAAAGATTAAATTATTTCTGGCTGGGGAGATTATCCTTACTGTAATGGCTGTAAATGTCCCAGAAGAAATGTAAATTCCAAGTCAACCAGCTGTACTGTTGTTGATTTTTTTTCATCTTCATTAGCCAATACTAAATTTAGGTTGCTATGTTTCTTTCAAAATCCCACTGACTCTGGAATAGAAAAGGTCGTTCTCCTTCAATAGATCTGTGCATAAATGTACATCTTGTACAGTACTGAGACATTTGGCTCAATAGGAGAGAAACTTTCTGCAATCTGTGTGTTGTTACTTTTTAGGTTATGTTTCCTTCCATTATTGATTTTTCTCAGAATGCATAATATTTAAGACAATATCCATTTGAATAACCTTAGAGAAAGCACCAAGGTGGCAAAGACTCAGAACACACTCTAGGTGGAGGACTTCAATTTTTATCACCAATAATGGCTCAATAAACCACTACTGACAAATCCTGTTGAGTCTTAAAGGACATAGCTAGTAGAAAGGGCCTGTTGCAGGTGGGGAGAGAGAAACCTAATAGACCTAGTCATGCTGACCATGGTGCCCACTCAGCTTGTTCCAATTGCCTGCATTTGATCCATGTCCCTCTAAACTCTTCCCATCCATGCCCCCCTACCCAAATGTTTTTTTAAAATGTTGCTCTTGTACCTGCCTCAACCACTTTCTCTGACAGCCCATTCCATGAGGTGCCCCTCAGGTCCTTCTTAAATCTTTCCCCTCTCACCTTGAACATATACCCTCTAGTTCTTAATTCCCCATCTCTGGGGAAAAAGACTATATGCATTCATCCTATCTGTGCCCCTCATGATTTTATACACCTCAATAAGGTCACCCCTCATTCTCCTATGCTCCAATGAATAAAGTCCTGTCCTGGCCAACCTCGCCCTAAACTCAGGCCTACTAGTCTGAGCAACATCTTTGTAAATCTTCTTTGCACACTTTCCAGTTTAAGAATGTCTTTCCTATAACATGGTGACCAAAACTGCACACAATACTCCAAGTGTGGCCTCACCAACAAATACAACTACAACATAATGTTCCAACTCCTATATTCAATGCCTCAACCGATGAAGCCAGCCTTCTTTGCCACCCTGTCTACCTGTGACACTGCTTTCAATGAATTATGTACTTGTAATTCTAAGTTCCTCTGTTCCACAACACTCCTCAGGACCTTACCATTTACTGTGTAAGCCCTACCTTGGTTTGACTTTCCAATGTGCAACATCTCACATTTTATCTGTACTGCATTGCATTTGCCAATCCTCAGCCCACTTCCCTATCTGATCAAGATCCCTCTATAATTTTTGATAACCTTCCTCACTTTAAAGGATACCTCCTAATTTTGTATCATCCGCAAACTTACTAATCATGCCTTGTACATTCACATCCAGATCATTTATGTAAAGGACCCAGCACTGACCCTTATGGCACACTACTAGTCACAGGCCTCCAGTCCAAGAAACCACCTACAACCATCACCCTCTGCTTCCTACCATCAAATCAATTTTGACTCCAATTAGCTAGCTCTCCCTGGATCCTATGCGACCCAGTCTTCATGACTAGCTTGCTCTGCAGGACCTTGTCTAAAGCCCATACAGATAACAACCACTGCCCTATCCTCATCTATCCCTCTTGGTTACCTCTTCGAAAAACTCTAAAAGATTTGTCAGACATGACTTCCAAGCACAAATCCATCCTTGACTATCCAAATGTTGGTTGATCCTCTCCCTCGGTGTCCTCTGCAATAACTTGCCCATCAGTGATGTCAGGCTCACTGGTCTGTAGTTCCCTGGCTTCTCTTTGCTACCTTTCTTAAACAAAGGAACATTAGCGTCCTCCAGTCCTCCAGAACTTACCAGCAGCTAAAGATGAAGCAAAAATCTCTGCAATTTCTACCGTAACCTCCCACAAAGTCTGAGGATGGACTTGATCAGGCCCAGGTGATTTATCCCCCTTAATGCGCATTAAGGCTGCAAACACCTCCTCTCTGGTAATATGTATGCAATCCAAAACCTCCTCGCTTGTTTCCCTTAGTTCCTTAGCATCCATGATTCTCTCAAGAACATTTCATTGAAAATCTCCCCATCTCCTGTGACTCCACACATAGATGGCTATGCTGATCGTTAAGAGGAACTATTCTCTCCCTAGCCACGCTTTTACTCTTAATATAGCTATAGATCCTCCTGGGATTGTCTTTAACCTTATCTGCCAGATCCATCTCATATCCTCCTTTTGCTCTTCTGATTTCCCTCTTAAGTGTGTACCTACACTTTTTATGGTCTGCTCGGGATTTGCTTGAGCCTGATAGCTGAAACCCAATGTATGCTTTCCTCTTTTTCCTGACCAGAGCCTCAATATCCCTAAACCTGCCAGCTTTTCCCTTCACCCTACCAGGGACGTACTGTCCCTAGACTCTCAATATCACCCCTGTAAAAGCTTCCCATTTGCCAGTCATTTCTTTTCCTTCAAACGACTCACCCAATCGACCACTGCTAGATCCTGCCTAATGGCCCCCAACTTATGCCTGCTCCAGTTCAGCATCTTAACCTGTGGCCCTGCCCTATCTTTTTCCATTACTATGTTAAAACTAAGAGGGTTATGGTCACTGGGCCCAAAGTACTCTCCGACTGACACTTCAGTCACTTGCCTGACCTTGTTTCCAAGAGGAGGTCCAGTATTGCACCCTCCCAATTAGGGCTCTCTACACACATAGTCCTCACCAATCTACCTGCTGCAGATGCATATGTACATGAGAGAATAGGTAGGAGTGACCATTGCATAGTTTTTTTTTTGAAGATAAAGTCCTATCTTCACCCTGAGTATTCTCTCCATAATGTTGTGTGGCACTACCACTGTGCTAAATCGGATAGATTCATAACATTATCAAGCAACTCAAATCTGGCATCTGAGAAGTGCTGTAGGCCATCAGCTGGAGCCTATTATATTCAACCATAATTTGTAACCTCATGACCTGACATCTGTACCATTACTATCCAGATAGGGGATCAACCTTGGTTAAGTGAGAAGTGCAGGAGGGCATAGGAGAGGCTGTACCAGGTTCGGCTAAAAGTGAGGTGCCAATCTGGTGAAGCTACAGCTCAAGGTTACTTGTGTGCCAAAGAGCAGAAGCATGTAATAGACACAGTTTACCAGGTATGGCTAATTTATCTATTTAGTACTGCCAGTCTCCTATGCCTCTTTGGAAAAGCCCATTTCATTAGGAAACATTTTGCTTAGCAAATGTCAGTGAAAATTAACTTCAATTATAACTCTTTATATACATTCTGTAGTTGTATTGACATGTTCTATTAAATTGGCTAAAGATATCGTTACCTTTGAGTCTTTTGTTGTCCATTACAATTAAATCCTTTCCTCTACAATTTAAATCAGTACCTGAATTTGATATACTGACCTCCCCTTCCTCAAATGCTTATATTGAAGATGTAGTAGACTCTCTGCACCATCATGGCATATCTCTGACTTGCTCGCAACAGACTGTTGCACTGCAGTGGTTTACTTTGGGTCACATTTGCACTTTTCATTGCTAGACTGCTTTAATGATATCTTGTGCACAGGTACAGGCCACCCATCTCATGGATTTGACCAGGTTGAATATAGGATTTCTGACTTTCCTAATGCTCATGCACGTTGCTTGGATGCTCACAGCATCTCTGCCTTGCCTTACCTTTTTAGCAGAGACACAATGCCAGCTTATCATAATTCCTGACACTTGCGATGTGGTCAATCCAAATTCAATAGCTAAAATTAATAACCTAAAGTAGAAGGATGTCTCAAGTACTCCTCCCGACAATTTCTATCTCATAGGCTGAATGTTATAGCATTATTTTATATGGAAAAGCCTTTTTATTATAATTGCTATTCACTTTCTCACATGCTATGTAACAGAATGCACTCATGGTTCAGTTCATGACATGAGTGCTAGTATACACGAATATTCCTTCCACATCTATATTTGTTTTAAGAATTGTTCACTTAAAAAAAAGAATCTTGCCGTAGATATTCTCTTGAGTACAGTGCTGCTGGTTGATGATTTTAATGTTCAGAGCATTGTGTGCATTTTCTGGCATGTCAGCACAACCTAATATCTAACTTAAAGGTAAAGCTGCCATATTCCAGAGGTCCATAGGGCTACTTTCTCATCAGAGAGAGATGACTGATGGTGGGTTAACGTGAGGGTCACCTGTGACAATCCTATGGCTTTAAGAGGTGTATTTTGTCCTGTTTTTTTATGAAGAAAGTTTGAGACAGAGGTATGGAGCAGCCTGTTCCAATCTAATAAAGTAAACAGCTTGTGATGCCTTGGGTCTTTTTTTAAAGTTGAAGCAATAGAAACAGCATGAAGGGGAAGGGTCAAGTTCCACAGAACCAGGATTATAGTTTAACTTTCAGTCATTATTGGGATCTTGAAACTGGATTTGGAAACTTTTATTCCTCTCTTTGTTACAGCTAAAAGCTGGGTTCTCTTCCTGCTGCTAGAATTGCGTGTGACACAAAATCTGTTTAATTAATTTGCCTTTGCCAAGAGTGCGTTTATGGGATGTTACTATATTGGAACAGTTGCTGTTAAATAATCTATTATTCTGTTAAGTTTTCCAATAGGGTTAAGTTATTCCAATTCTTCTTTCTTTTGTTTGTATTTTAACAAAGTGTAAGAATAAAGTGTGTTTTCCATCAAGGTTGGTAGTTTGACTAATTGAATTGCATCCAGAACACACAACCTTCCAGTTGCCTTTGAAAATAAGAAGTAACCTCTAGAACATTTGCAAATTATTTTGAATCTATGACCACTTGTCATTGACCACATACCAAAAGAAATCATTTTTTCTCTATCCACTAAGTGGTCATCATCTTCAAAATGTCTATTAAATAGCGTTATTATCTTGTCTGTTCAAGGAGAACAGTCCTAAATTTTCAAACTTCTCCTCATGACTGAAGTTCCTGGTAACATTTTGGTATTTCTCCTCTGTACCTTTTTCTGAGACCCTTTTCTTTATATCTGATCTGAGACCCAAACAACCTTCCTTAATTGTCACACCTAGAGTTGTTCACAATTCTTCAGCAGAGCCCTAATCCATGATTTATAATCTTCTAGAATGAACACGTTGCTTTTATATTCTTCTTCCATGTGCAAATGCAAGGAACCCAAATTTTGTTTTTGTTTCTAGCCACATTATCTAATGACCTTCCAGATTTGAGATTTTCTTTTGTGTGTGGCAAAACGTTTTTGCTTACAGACACATCTCAAAATTATGGTATTTATAGGTCATTGTCTTTCAAAATTAGTCATCCCTAAAAGTGCATCATTTCAAAGTTTTCCACACTAATAATGATTCTGCCCTTTTTTCCCATGCTGTCTGTGCCATCTACTAACTGTCTTCAACAAGAACTATTATTTAGACAAGTTCTGTGTCAGCGGTAAACTTATTGCTCCCTGCGACTGCATGGAGCTCATTTTTAATAATTGGAAAGGGTAATGGAACAAGGCTAATTTCCTTTGGTGTCTAGTAACAACCCCACCACCAATGTCAAATGTCTGATCAGTGGTTTCCTTGTTTGTCCCTAAACCTTTCTTTTATATGACATTAGGAATCTTCCAGTTCAATGAGAATTGTAAGTGTGACCAGTGCCTGCGCTGTTTCTACCTTTTTGCTTCTTTCAACAATCTCAGATGCATCGTGTAGAGCTTTGTAAACTTATGAAAACATTTCGTAGAATACTATATGTAATTCCAATAGAATCTATTTAAAGAGATAATGAACAATTAAATAGTATTTCAATGCACTAATATATTAGCAAATCAAATATATCTGTCAATAAACCTCAAGTTATTTTCAAGAAGGATGAATTTGTATCTGACTTCCTTCTTATCCCTTGCAGACCATCATGTGCCAAGTCCTGACACTCCTAATGTCTTCAATTTAATCTCAGAACATAAACTGCCGATCACTGACACCCCTAATGTATTCAAACCAATCTTAGAATCTGAACCTGCAGAGATAGCAGAGAAAGAACTGACAGGTATTTCTGAGACTACTTCTGCCTGGAACATGAACTCTTGAATGGAGTAAATAATAAGAGATGCATGTTGAGTTATGTGTTAATGCAAAAGAAGATTCTGACACTTGCTGTGGGTGCTATGCCACACTTTTACAATTAAATATGTGTGATAGTCAGTACATTGTCTCGCATGCAACTCATTCAGTGTTGTAGCAAATGAAATGGGTAATGCACTGAAATTTAGGCATTTTGCTTCATTATTGTATTCTTTGGTCAACACCTTATTTCATGAAGCTTTGAGGCTGTGCTTGGCGTGAGGGAGACTTTCAAGCTGCACTGTCACAATGTTTGTTGGATGGTAATTAGCTTTATGTGGTGGAAGCAATGTTACTGCATGGGGTATCTGTTTTCGTATCTATCATATGTACCGTTATGGAAGACAATTGTTGCACAGAACACATAGATTATGCAAATCACTGTGCATTTCTTTTCACTTCTGGATTATTTGTTCAGCATGCTATTTCCCAAGGTTTAAAGACTTTGTTTTGTTCTAAAGTGTCTGTTATTCTGTCATCATGTATTGTCAGGTTGTTTGGATAATAGTTTGTTTTTACATAACGGAGTGATTTTTTTGCTGAATTGAGTGTCTGTTAGCATATGAATTTATATGAATTGTTTCGAAGGAAGTTGAATTAATTGCTTTATGCACTGAGTCTAATTTATCATTTGGCTTAGTATCGAAAGTAAAAAGAATATGTACAATATTTGGTTACTTGGAATGAATTAAATGGTTATTATAATGGTGTGACATTGCAGAAGTTTTCTGAAGAAGGGCCTAGACCTGAAACATCAGCCTTCCTGCTCCTCTGATGCTGCTTGGCCTGCTGTGTTCATCCAGCTCTACACCTTGTTATCTCAGAAGTCCTAAAGTGATGTCCACAAGTACAGATTTATTAATTAACGCAATACAATTTTCATTAGAGGTTAAGAATTTCATGTCTGGCTTCCTTTTTATCCACAGCAGACCATGAGGTGCCCACCTCTCACAATGTGTTCACTTTAATCTCAGATCGTGAGCTGCCAATCACTGACTCCCCATATATGCTCAATTCAGTCTCAGAATCTGACCCTGCTAAGATAGGAGAGGATGAATTTACAGGTACTTTCAATAATACGTGTATTTGGCATGTACAAAGTAACAGGCTAAACAATAAAGTAATGTTTGAAGATTGTGCTACCATACCAGACAGTTTGGGCAAAATCTGTGAATGCTGTTCAACATTTTTGCAGTCAAATCAGTGTTTGGTTTAGTCTTGTATGAAACCCATTCACTGTAGTGTAAAGTATATGTTTCCTTATATGGAAGTGCCTCATTCCTCATAACATTCTGGTATTTCTCCTTTGAAACTTTAAGACCCTTTTATAGCTCTTCTCCAGTTTCATGCCCAGAATTGACTAAATACTTTAGCAGAGGGTTAATCAGTGCATTTTAATGTTCCCTTTACATTTATGTCCTATTTGTCTTTGTATACATCCAAGTAATCCAAATGCTATTTTAACAAGTTTATTAGCTGGCTTTTCAGATTTAAGAATTTATATGTATAGGTGGTAGGTCTTTTGCTTATTCTACATGTTTCAATGTTATGTTATTTAAAGCATAAAGTCTTTCAAAATTGGATCAAAATATGTCAGATCACTATTCTAAGCATCCACAATACGTCTGCCATTTCGCCACTCTGTCATTTTGCACCAATAACTGTTCTCAGCATGATCTGTTCTTTTGCCAAGTTTTGTTCCATCAATAAACATTTTAACATTGCTCACTTATAACAATCGGAAAGAGTAATGGATACAAAACTGACCCTTGGGTAACACCGCTGAAAACCAAATCCCAGACTGTGAAACATTCACCTACAATCACATACTGCTTTACAGCACTTTCTATCCATATCACTTCTGCATTTTTAATTCCATTGACTTCCATCTCAACAGACCCCTTGAATGGCACTTTGCTGAATGCCTTGGGAAATTCCAGACATGCATCTACTTCATTAACTTGGCCAATCTTCTCTGTTACCACATTTGAACAAGCCAGTTACGTTAGACACAATTAGCTCTTAAAAAACAAAAACAAAGTTGCTGGAAAAGCTCAGCAGGTCTGGCAGCATCTGTGGAGGAGAAAACAGAGTTAACGTTTCGGGTCTGGTGACCCTTCTTCAGAAGGTTCCACAAGATGCTGCCAGACCTGCTGAGCTTTTCCAGCAACTTTTTTTTTGTTCCTGATTTACAGCATCTGCAGTTCTTTTGGTTTTTATTTAGCCTTTAAAAAAGTTGTGTTGGATCTTCTTGCTTCTCTGATGCATTTCCAGATGAAAGCCTATTTTGTCCTTATTAATGGCTGTCAGTAACTTTTCCACCTGATGTTAGGCTGACTGCTCTTTAATTTGCTAATATCTTTCTAATCCTTTCTTGAATACAAATTAGCAATCATCCAGTCTTCTGACACTAGTCCTGTGTGCAATGAGAGTTGAAAGATTGTGACCCACTGCCTGAGAGATTTCTACATTCGGCTTCTTTCCAACAATCCTTCATGCATTAGGTAGACTTTAATATTATGTATAATATGTCACTAGCCACAAAATGTAATTGCATTAGAATCCTTTCATGCCTCACTGAGGTAGTGCATTGGAAATTAAGCCCCATTATGCCCAGTGAACCATCCCTGCAGGCTGCATTCCCTGCTGATGCTAAATTAAGCTGAAAAACAGCTGGGACAATGTCCCGGGTGAGTGAAGTCAGTGTCAATTTGAAGGGCGAAAGTGCAGGATTCACATCTAGACACTAAGACATTGCATGGACAAATACTTCCTTGCAAACTCCAGGTACATTTAATTTGCAATAATTTCTTTGCCCATATACAATGCATGCAGAGTGAACAGGCTTAGGTGTCAAATGCTGATTAAAAGCAGATTGCACCAACCCATTGGTAGTTGGGGATCTAATACCGGCAGTGTTGCAGAACTTCGTGGCAATGACTTAAAATGAGCCAGCTATTGGCCAAAGCGTCCTTCACTTGTGAAACTTCTAAAATTGTTGTGGGATGAGGGGAACATCGTTGTGGTCATATCTCATCGATGTACAATGATGAACAATATTGATTTCAATGAAAACTTAAATGATTGTGGGTCTGGGATGGGAAATGGGCTAGACTGCAACAGGCACTGTAATGTGTTGGTCACTCAGCTGGGCCCTCCAATATAATGCGAACAGAGCATGTCACACTGTCATGTCATGTGCATTCTGCATGATCTGTGCAGGCAATGAAGCAATGTAATAGATGCTGAGGAACTATGGGAGCAGATGTAGTGTCTGAGGAGAAGGATAAGGATATTGGGCTACAGCAAGCTTTCCTTATTGATAACAGGTTAGCTGAGTTGGGCGCTACGAAGCAGAATGGAGCTGATTGACACCAGGTTCCAAAAGATAAGAGCTGGGTACAGAAGACGATCATGGATTTGTCATAGTGTCACCATTTGGTTTGCTTTTGTTCGCTGTCAATACAAGTTCATGTTTGGAATTGGAGATAGTAGGAACTGCAGATGCTGGAGAATCCGAGACAACAAGGTGCAGGGCTGGATGAACACAGCAGGCCAAGCAGCATCATATGATGCTGCTTGG